GGCAGAACACCCAGCTCGCGATGGGCAGTTCACGCCAAGGGCGAATCGTCCCCACGGGCTCCACGCCCGACTGAGCAACCTCGCTCCATAATGCCCGACATTCTATCAAGAATAAAGGGACATCTACAAGGGTCAAACGAAAATCTCTCCCCTCGAGCGAAACACTTAAGCAACCCCGGCCGACAAAAATACGGCCGAGATTGCACACGAATAGAGACGAGCACATTCGCTCGCCAAATCAAAGCCACTTACGGGCACTCCTCGAGCCCGGGACTTGAGCTAAATTCATACAAGCATGTGAGTTCATACAAGGGCAGAAAAATCCAAAATAAACAAGGTATAAACGCCCGAAGGCAACAAAGTAATATTAAACCGACCAAGAAGGCCGGCGATGTTCGTACATGCAATAAACGGGCACGCAGGCCCAAAGAATACAAATTCAAATATCAAAGGCACGCAGGCCCGCTATCCAAAAAATACAAATCAAACCTCCACATTATCACCACTGTCGACGCCGGGAGAGTCGGGCGGGGGAATGATCGCGCCACCGACAACCCGATGGGTGTGCCCGATGCCCTCGGTGACCAGGCCGGGATTTAGCAATGAGAGCTGGTCGACGGCAGAATTGAACCCGTCTTCCAGGGCACCGACTGCGTCCTCCTCGAGGTTCCGGATATGGGCAATAAACTCAGCCCGACTCTTCAAAGCCATTAGGTCCTCGGGCTCATCTTCGGCGGGTTGTTGGACGGCATTCAGTTCCTCAACCTGCTTGCTCAGGCGTTCGACTTCAGCAGCCAAACGATCCCTGTCGGTCCTGAGCAACTCCCCTTCCTCGGTCAACCGCCCCGACTTCTCCTTCTCCAAGGTCAGCATCTCCCTCTCGGCGTCAAGTATCGCGGTCTGCTCTTGGAACATCCCCTCGGAGCGTTCCAGAGCGACCTTCAACTTCCTTGAGCTCGCAGTCAAGGCCACCTTCTCCCGCTCGAGCTCTTCAACACGAGCAGCATCCCCTGCGTCTTCAGACAATACCAGAGCCATTTCAGCCATTTTAACCAGCCCGTCCATGCTGGCGACCAGCCGCGACTTCCTCTCCTCCTTAGTCATCCTCTTTATAGCCTCGGCTTCATGAACGACCACGGTCGGAGGGAACCGCTCAAAAAAGCCCTCCTCCTCGAAGCAAGGGGGGAAGGCAAAGGATTGAACAGGACCGGTATCTTCCCTGACATTCGAACCGCCCTCCACGCGGGTCCTTTTCCTCTGGGTCAAAATGGCACTGGCATCAATCTCCTCGACATCCGGATCCGATGCCGCTCCCGAGCTCGACGTCGAATCCACCCTCACCGGCGGAGGAACGGCCGTGCTCGGCGGTGGTCCCATTCTCGTCAATTGCGGGGCAGGCACGACCTTCTTGTTTCGCCTCTGGCCGGTTGACAATTTCAGGAGCCTCTCGTGTCGGCTGGCCATCGTACCTGCACGAAGTAAAAGAAAAGTCAGTATCGAGCAAAACGCGTAAATAAATGACGAGTAAAGAATTTCAAACAAACAACCTAACAGGCGGGCTGCCTGCCTGTATGTCGAATATTCCACCAACGCCTTGGTGTCGATCGGACGAGCCTCGAATGTCGGGTAACCGTCCTTGTCGAGGATATCATTCCCCTCCCGTGTAACCCACTGGGCGGGATGAAAACCGTCGACAAAGTTGCAGAGAGCCGCATACGCCCGTTGATCCTCCGTGCACATGTCCCCGACTGCCGTATGGAAGTAGCCGGTTCCATGCTGGAAGTGTCGAGACATCCAGTACACCGGGAACTTAGCCCGACGTCCTAACACGGGGCTCCCGTCATCGGTCAGCATTGCTTCCCCGTCATCATCGCTGACCGGCCCTTCCTCCTCGAAGAGGGAATCTACAGCAGAGTCGGTGATAGGGTGTACCACATACCACTTATCCTTGAACCCCCTCACAGAGTCCATATACATCCTAAACAGTCTCCTCGACTGCTTCAAGGACACCCAGCTGTGCTTCCCTCCTCGGGACTGACGCTGTAGATGGAAGACCCTAAAGAAGAGAGGGATGGTCGCCCCTATCCTTAAGTAGCGGCACGTCAGCTCAAACGCCCGGATGAAGGCGAGAGAGTTAGGGTGTAGCTGGGACGGGGCCAGCTCCAAATGCGTAAAAACCCCGGTCTCAAAGTCTGTGAAAGGCAGCCGCAAACCCAAGTCTTTAAACGCGATCTCGTACATCGCAAAGCTGTAGTCCGGGTACATCGAACAAATTCTGGCGTTGGTCGACGGCAGCATGACCTCGAAATTCGGTTGAAAGTCGGGCTGGTCCTGCCCCTCTTCGATAGCGATGAACGGATGTCGGTCATCCCGACTGTATATCGACGCCGTCCCCCGAGGCTCGGCGCCCACCCATTCCAGCGATGGGTCGGTCACAGTGTCTATAAGGTTGGCCGACTCGTCGGCACTTTGTTCTTCGCTGTCACGACGACCGGAGGAGCTCGGCTCATCCGCCATGGTTACCTGCAGAGCACGGGAAACCAATCAGATTGAGCATGAAGCCCTATGCTCGACATAATCATGTCGTCCATACACTACCACAAGTCCATTTTCACAAGTGGATGCCTCCCCGACTCTCCTGAATCCAGTGTTCTTCCACAAACCAACTGCGCGGCCACTCTTCAAGCACGTCGATCCGGGGTATGAACATGTCGAGCCGCATTATGAAGCCCACGGCCACGACCATAAACATACCGGGCACCGGCATGAGTCAGGCGCCCAGGATCATGAACACCCCGGGCAGCTCTGAAGTTTTTCATCTAAAACTAAGAATGTGTCGGCCACAAGTATGCGTTTGCCGGTCCTAGACATAAATCTGTCGGGCAAAACACGAGTTTACCGGGCTAATCCCACATTAACGGTCCTAAAACATCCACAATTTCCTAGAATCATGCATTCTAAAATAAGAAAATAAAGAAAATGGATCACTTACTTGGATCAAGGTTGAGATTCGGCTAAGAAATGAAGAATCTGAGACGGGAAGTCACGGTTGGAGAGAGTGTTGAGAGTTGCAACGAAGAGAGCACGAAGAACGGAAAACGTATTATGGGGCCCAAGGACCCTATTTATAGTGGTGACGTGGAATACCAAACGTCACCTCGTTTAGCCACGGACTCCGTCTCCTCGACGCACTGCACCCAACGCAATGATGGCCCTACCCCCCTAGGGTGGCGGCACAACTCCCAAAAGATGCCTCGCGTGCCCGACCAACGTGCCCGGTACGGATCCTCCACGCATCCATCACCGAGGACGTTCCCGAGCACGACACGAGGAGGCCCCTCGAGGGCCCGCGCCTCCATTCCGGGCACGAGACCTCAGCGACGGAACAACTTGGTTTCAAGTCATGGCTCCTCGCAAAGGAACCACGACTTGGGGGGCTCCTGTTCTGGACTGGGCCCGACAGGCCCAAAAGCATTACTAAGGCCCAGTCCAATGGGACTCACTAAGGACCACAATGGGCAAAGGCCCAGTCCAATGGGACTCACAAAGGACCACAACGTCCATGCCCGACACCCTGATGTCCACCTCGACATCTCAGTGTCCAGCCCACGCGACGAAGTCACGCTCGACAGACTGCCGTCCAGCTCTATGCCCTGGCTTCCAGCTCGACACTCGCTGTCCAGCTCGGGGTCTTGGCGTCGAGCTCGACACCATGCTGCGCTGCTCGACATGGACTCGAGCTGCCTTGTTAGGGCAGACTCAGTCACCATTGCCCCAACGATACTCCGTAAAGACCGCGTCTCTGTCCGCCCGCACTTCACGCAGCACCTCCAGGAAGGGGACCACGTGCTGATCCCCACTACCCACGTAGAACCTGGCAGTTCCTCCATTGGGCCAAATCCGCCCGGCCCAATGAAGGAACCTTGGCCCAGCGCTGGGGGCTATAAATACCCTCTGTTTCCAGAGGGTCAGGTATTGATCATTCTAACCTCAACTCTATTATCTGCTAGTACTCCCACTGACTTAAGCATCGGAGTGCCTTGCAGGTACCCCCCCCTCCTCGTTCAAAAAGCCTTCAGCTCGGAGTAGCCGTGACGGTCCAAACCTTCTGATCAGGTCAGATCAGAATGAATTACTATTTCTATTTTAATTTTATCATATATATATATATATATATATATATATATATATTTTGTATTTAACTATATAATAATGTCAATATTGAATAAAATGAGAGGATAGAACGGATACCCATACGAAGGCTCGGGTATCACACTAGTTTATCCAAAAAAAAAAAAATTTTGAAATGTTAGGGTAAATCTCTTTTTTTTCCATCTTTTTCTATCACATCATTAACCGATCATATTCACATCTATTGGTTCATTTCACACAATTTAGAACATACGTTTCTGCACTAGAGTTAAGTGTTTTCTGCATCATTCCACTTGTTCTATTATGTGAGTTATAATGACAGTAACTTATGAAATTGGTTCTGTTGAGCGTTTGCATTGGAAAGTAATAACTCATTGAGATGAGAACCAAAAGTGGAGTAAATACCTTTGGGATTTACAGCACTAAAACAAATTCGATTACAAACATCACTCTTTCTATTTCAAAATAATTGACTCAATTCCCTCATTTATATAAATAGAGATTGATGTGGCATGCTGATGTGGTTTGATAATATAATCTCCAAAACTCACCTGCAAATGCATTACTATAACAAGCTGAACAAGAGACAAATTGCAAATTTTTACACATCAAATTCTACACTGGATTCAAGACTTTCAGCAATACCACTTCAATTTTCCTAAAACTACCCTGATATCAAGCACAAAACTTCTACTGCTGTTTTTGTGAACAATTTAAAATTTGCACATTACATGTCATCTAAATTCAAGCCATGATCAGATACTAGATAATTTTTCCAAATCTTCAGAAGGATGTAACAATATCCACCTTCTCAAACCTGTAAAAGAATGTTTGTCTCTATGTTTTGATTATTGAGCTGCTCGAGGTGCTTTCATACCGAATCCATGTTTCACTTTCTCCACTCTGTAGAATCGTAAGTGAGTGCATTAGAACAACAGAAAGTAGAATATGATTAGAGAATAGGAACAAAATCAACAAAAAAACTCAGTACTAACGTTGGTGCGAGTTTGCCAAGGCAGTCCAGCTCTTCTCCTGTGTCTTCATTGAGGACTCTCCCAGAAATTTCGATGATATACGATCTATCTCCATCAGGTGGAAGACCTCTTCCAGAAAGCAAATCCAAATCTTTCTGATGAAGTTCCCTACCATTTACAAAAACACCGGTATTCCCACCGGAGCATTTTTCTGGCAAGGGATGATTGAACTCTTCTATAAATGGCTGCAGGATAATTTGCATCATTTCGTTAAAATATCACTAAATTACACCACCAATAGACTGAGCTAGAATAGTAAAACTTACTGGAATTATTCCAAGACAAGGCCCGCCGATGATGCCCCAAAATCCAGCCCGAATATCATACCTGTACAACGGACTACAATTATATATCTCAATCTAGCATAGCATCAGGTTTGAATGGTTCTAAATGTTAGATGTAAAGCATACTGACCAATAATTTCCAGGCTGGATTGGTCCTGCAAGCTTTTCAGCCTTCTTAACCACACGATCTGACAAGGGCTTTCCGTTCACAGTAACATTAATTTTTCCACGATCATCTGTTTGACTAGATCGGAAGCTTTTCTTGATTATGTTTGCAAAGAATGATTCACCCCCTCTGTTAGATCTAGGATGATCGTGTTCTCGGCTAGCATCTCTGGAATCCTGGGAGACTCCAGTGTTGGAATAATCAAGGACATCCATTTCAGTTGCAACCGCTGTTTCTTTCAAAGAATTTTGACGCGATGTAATCTTTTCCAACTTTGCCTTGTCTTGCTCTGACCGACTACTTCGGTTTCCTTTTCCAAACCGATTAACAGTGCGGTTATTATTAGAGTGATCAATATACTCCTGTGGAGGTGACCCAAAAGGAGGAGATAGAGAGTCTGCCGTAGGCCGGAGAATAGACTTCACAGCCTCCCTTGAAGCAGTCATTGCTTCTGAACTATTTTCATCTTCAGATGTACTAGAAGCTGAGGTATGAAAACTCGGCATCTCCTGCGACTTGTTAGAGTTTAAAGCAACTGCTGAAAGGGTTTCTCTATCTACCGAGAGAAAATCATAACCAGAATAATCATCAGATGAGAAGTTGGCACGGCTCCTGTTTGCAAGACCACGGGCATGTGACACACGGCCATTCAGAACCTCGTTATACCTATCATCAATCCTTGAGGGAGCTCCATTCATTTCTGAATGAGGAGATATAACCAGTTTTTTATTGATGACAGAAATGCTGATTTCGGAAGAACAAGCTCCACATCGCACTTTCTGCTGATGATTTCTCACAAGAACAAGTGCTTTTTTAGGCAGTTGCAGTAACTCGAAGCAGTTATGGCATGTGATAAAAGGTGAACCACCGGCCACAGGACGGCAACGTCGGCTGCTACTAGCTAGCATTACCTTACGAGAACGGTTTCGAACACCACCACCAAACTCAGCATTGAAGTCACTAGGCCATCTCGTATGTAACTGATTTTCACCAAAACGCGCTGTGGGAATTGAAGCTCTAGAATTATGAGCATGTGATCCAAATGTCCCAGGGATCTCATGATGATGATATAACATACGATCATTTGGGGCATCAGGAAACCTGCTGTTAACGAATGGAGCAGGCGGCCCCGGCACTGAACCTCTTTGTTTATTGTCATAGCAATGGAAACAAGAGCAAGAAAGTGGGTGAAGCATTGCATTATTACTATTATGCGCATACATTTCATATGAATCTGGATTAGGATCAACATACCATCCAGGAAGGTAGGGATGCAATGATTGCTGCGAGAATTGATGTGGACCTCTCCTCAGCATTTGAGACGCAAAAGGGTCCCCATATTGATTTGGATTATGCATCGAAGGATGGAAATTAGGCATAGCCGTTTCATGACCGCCTATATAAGGATACGGATCATGATGATAATCACGGTGAGGGGGACCTGCCACATGTTTATCAGGTCCAAAAAATTGCCTTGAAGTCCGGTTTAATCCCGACGATCCATCCGGAAACCAAGGATCCGAGCCACCAAATTGATGATGAGGATCCGGAGGAATCATCCTTTCATCAAGAAGAGCCTTTTCCTTCTGATTGTTAACCACTTCAGCAGAAGACTTACTGAGCTGGAGTTTTAGCTCATCGAGCTTCCTTAAAAGCTCGGCTCGATCTTGCTCAAGGTGCTGAACCCTATCTGCACCATCTTTTGCTTTATGACCCCTCCATGATTCTTTATAACCACTAGAAAAACCAGAATATCCATTTGAAGGTCCTTCATCAGGATAACTAGAACTAGCAAATCTCACATTTTCCATTTCACCTTGTAACTTTCTCCGAAACCCCTCCATCTCAGTTCTCTCCCCATTTCGCAAATTAGAATTTCTACCAGTGAGATCAAACCCATTTTCATTACCGATTCGAGACTTGAGTTCCTCCTGTTTTCTTTCCATTTCTTTACTCACTTCACCACCATTCTCTCTTATAACATCAACACCATTCTCCAAAACCCCTTTCTCATCCAATTCACTCGGATTTCGAACTCCCTCGTCCTTATCCCTATGATTATCAAACCTAGAGACACCATTACTAGATTTAACATCAACAACATTTGAATCATTACTAGAATCAACTAACCCTTTCTCTAATTTTCCAGAACCCTCTCCAACTTTTCCCTCATCAGACAAACTACCACTCACATAACCTTTCTGTTTCGCTGAAATTAAAAACAAAAACCAAAACTACAAATAATCAGAAACTAGAAACACCCTTTCAAATTTCTATTACTAAACTATTAAGAAACATAATGAAACTGATTAAATGCATGAAATTAGTTACTAATAAAGAACAAATGCTAGAAAATGTTAACCTCGAAGAACAGCACCGCAACCACCACATTGATAAACAGAATAATCAGCCAGTTCAGGAAGTAGATTTTCACATTTGGGGCAACGAACCAAACGCAAGGTAGAAGAATCAGCCATGTTTGGATATACACTAAGAAACCTTCAAGTATAAGAACATGTGAATGTTGGAGAAAAGAAACAAGAACGTTGGAAGAGGTTGTTGTTGTTAAGCAAGGTTTTAGTTGTTTGGTTTAAGAAAGTGAAAAAAGAGACAAAAAAAACGCTGAAAGAGAGAGAAAGAGAAAGAAAAAACTGAAAAGAGAAAGAGAAGTTCTTCTTTTTGCTTTTTCTTTTTTCTGCGCCAGATGCTGATGCTGATGCTTCTTCTTTCCAGTTTTTTTCTTCTCACAATTTCAGACACAAATTTTTTGTTTTTCGGTGAAATTAATTAATGGAGCTAAATAATTAGCTTTCATTCAAATAATATTAAACATATATTTTTAGTTTTTCATGATTTAGTCGTCTTAATGTGATGTTGTCTTAATTGTCGTCTTTTTACGGTATTATTTAATTTCTGTCTTTAGTGTAATATTTGTTTGATTTAGATTAACGGATTAATCTCGACTTAATGTATATTTAACTAATGAATTTGACATCGCTACAAATTCAGAGATATAGATATTCCGAACAATTTAAAATCGTCATATTTATAAATTTTATTATATTTGTAGGTATTTTGCTCTTATATATTATTAATACAGATGTTGTGAGTTTGTTTACGGATTCAACCTTTTTAGTTTTTAATAATTTTAAATTTATATTATTTGATATGTTTTATTAATTTAAATGAATGAATATTATTTTTAATAAAAAAAAAACTTTCAGATTTTAATGGAGGACTCAGTATAATATGTGAGAGATGGTTTTATCTTTTATTTTTATGGATTGGTATTTCTCAGGGAAACTGTATAAATTAAGAACCAATGTTTTTTTATTTTAAAAAAAATCTTATTTATTTACCCAAAAAGTTGAGTAAAATTATCAGTAAAATTATCTTCAAAATCATTTGGATTAAAATAATTAAACATAACAAAATTATATAGTATGAAGTATTATGGGAGATATACTATCTAATTTTTAAAATTGAGTAGAAAAATTGTCAATTGATTTAATGGTAACTTTTGTTCTTTTATTTAATTTTTTATATTTTAATCTTCTATTTCAAAAACTGTTATTTTATTTTTTAAGTTTTTTTTTTTAATTTTCGTCTTTTTATTTTAAAAATTATGATTCTGGTTCTTTTTTTAAATTATAATTTTTAATTTCTTTTTTAATTTGGTGACGATGAAAAAGAGATCAAAATTTAAAATAACAATTTAAAACTTAAAAAAAATAAACTAAAATCATGATTTTTAAAAATGAGAAAATAAAAATTAAAAAAAAAACTTAAATAAAAACTAAAATGATCATTTTTAAAATAAGAAATCAAAATAAAATAAAAAATTAAACAAGAAGAACAAAATTACAATTAAACTATTTTATTTTTATTCATTAAACTATTTTATTTTTATTCCTATCAATTTCTTGTTTAAATTACTATTATGAAATATTATTTGCTTTTGAGTGCGAGAATATTTATGATTTTATCGTTTAAAAAAACGTTATGTTAGATTGAAAAATGTAGGTGTTGTATATAAATTTTTAATCTCAATTCTTAAATAATGTTAAACTATTTTAGATAGTTCCAAATAGTTTTTAAAAAGTAAATAATTTTGAAAGACAATTAATATGTTCGGTTTGATTTTTGAAGAGTTAAAAACAATTTTAAAGTGTTTAATTTTTTACATTAGAATTGATTTTATTAAAAATTAGAATTTATAATTTTAAAATTTAAACATGATTTTTATATTAAAATTTGTTATTAAATTTATTTTTATATAAATATATTAAAAAATAAATTAATTACATCAAAACTAATTTTACCAAATTCAATTTTATTAAAATTAATTTTTTCTTAACAAAAAAAATATATTTTTTTACTGCCCATCCAAACAACTACAACTAATATATCTTTATTAAAAATTAAAAATTAAAAAACCAACATAATCCATATCTTATAATATGATTTTTTTTAGTGAATTTGAACTTTTTATATAAAATTTTAGTTGAAACAAATTAAAAATTTACCAAGGTTCGACTCAAAAATCATATTGAAAAATATTTACAAATTATTACATTCCTTCCAGATTTTATTGATTTTTTTTCTTCTTTTTAATAAGATCTTAATCAATTTTTAAATTGTATTAATTTTTTTTCAAATATATCTTTAATTATATTACATCTTTTTATGTAATATGTAATAAATATTCTTGTTTGAACCTTAACTATTTCTCTTCTAAGGATAAATATATAAAATTATATAAATAGTCAATAAATTTAATGTTTTAACCAATTTTTTTAATTAACATAATTTATTCTACAAGATCTTATATTTAAGGATAAAGTTAATATATATTTCTTCTATTTCAAAAGGATTTTCGTTTAAAATTTTTAGACTAAAATATTACATTTTTATAAAATTAATTTTATTAATATATTAGAAGTAGTGTAAAAAATAAAAAATAAAAAATATTATTAAAAAATAGTAATTATTATTATATTGAAAATTGAAAATTGAAAATAACAATTATTTTAAAATATAATTTATTTATTAAAACAACCGTCATTTTAAAATTGATAGAATATTATGATAAGGTCTTGAACATGTGTTGTAGTAGTCTTGGTTGAATTTTTGAAAGAGTATTAACTAAAAAAAAGGATGAGAAGAGTGGTGAAAATTGCTTTAGAAAAAGAGGACCGTTTTCCAAGGTAGTTGAAGTAGTGTACTTGATGCTATAGCAACCAAACCAGGAAAAGAAACAAATAATTGTGTCCAAAAAACCACAAAACGACGTCGTTGCAAGGATTCGTTTCTAGTGGACATATTATCAAGCATTATTACATGTATCATGTACTTACTAGTATGTACTAGTACTACATGTGCATTGGGAATGGACATAGTTTGTTTGGTTTTTGAAAAGAAGATGGTAATAGTTTTGTTCATTAGTTATTGTCACTTGTCAATAATCAACTATATAGTATATTTTCTAGACATATTTATAAATAATAAAATATTTTAACTTTATTAAATAATTGATATATTTAATGATATATAATAATAATTAAATATATTATTTATTTAATAATTTTTTTTAAAAAAAATATTATTTATAAATGTGGCTGAAAAATATATTTTATTAGAATTATATATACGTAATCGAAAATTTTACAAAATAAAAAACGATTGCAAATGTAAAATTTGTGAGATAAGTTTTGTAACCTCAAATAAAATTTTTAAATTTTATTATAATTAAAGATAATTATTAAAATCTTATCAAAAATCTTTAAATATAAAAAAGTTTAAGAGTGTATTTGTTTCAACTTATAAAATATTATTTTTTAGAATTCTATTATTAAGATTATTATTTTTAAGAATAATATTCATATGTAAGTGTTTGGTTAAAAACTAAAATTTCAAAGAATATTTATAATATTTATTTTATTCAAAAATTGTAAAAAATAAAAATAAAAATAAATGTGAATAAGAATAAAAAGTTATAGTTAGTTAAATACTATTTCATGAGAATGTTGGATTCTCACCCTTTAAATATGTGAACAATTATGACATAGGGTGTATTTGTTTATAAAGTAAGATTTCTGGAAATGTTATATTGAAAATACAATAATCATATATTTGTTTCAATTTAAAAAAAAAATTATTCTTATGTATTTTTTATTCTTGCGAATGTTATTTACACATGATTTTTCTCATATTTATTCTCATGTGAATCCAATATTTTCATAAATAAAATTTAACTAACTTAACTTCTCACTAATATTCACAATTATTTTTATTTTTATAATTTTTAATTTAAATTAAATTTGAAAACATATCTAAAAAATTCAATTTTTCACCAAAGATATGCATGGAAATATTATTTCTAAGAATAATAATTTTGGAAATATAATTTCAAGAAACAATATTTTATAACTTGAAACAAACACACATAAATTATATGTAAAAATATTCTTTTAAATAAAAAATATTTAAAAATAATTTTTTAAAACTTGAAACAAACATAAAATTGTTATTTTTCTAATATAAGATTCTCAATAATACAATTTCAATCTATGAAATAAACAGACTCTAATAGACTTAAAGATTTTTTAATTTAAAATATAAATAAAACTAAAAATTATTTAAAAATTAAAATATTTTCTAACGCACAGTTTTTTATTCGATGCTCGCAACCAATCTTTCTGCATGAAGTCTTGTCATCAGTACTACCTTTTTAAATCTTTATGGGTGATGATGAATTCTTCAACAAGTGAAAATGTTGTGAAACTTCATACAATCCACCGTGATAATAGTATAATGCAAATTTGGAATTGTTCATTTGTATTGGTATGTCTTGTTTTTTATGTTTCAATTTTTATACGGTCAAAACCAATCTATGTCATTTTTATTTTATTTTATTCTAGATTACTCCCAAATTGTATAGGAAACTCTGAATTCTGTTCAGAATACTTTTCCTTAATTTTAAAATTGTCATCCATATATTTTATATTTACTAAAGAATATTTTAGTATTTTTAATTACTTTTGATAATTTAATTATTAAGTATATTCTATTAAGTTTATATAACTTTTTTTTTTTGTATATAAATAAATTAGTTGTAAATGTCATAAAAACAACAACAAAAATTATTCTTTTACACTTTTTACAATTGTCATTCTCTTTACTCTCTTAATATAATCTTTTGTTCATCATCACCTTAAGCACCAACAAATTGGTATCAGAGCTTCGGTTCTAATTTTTGGGAAACACGAGTGAAACGGTGAGGCGTTGTGTGATTGATTTTGATTCTTGAATTCGTGTTGAATCTTGAACAAAATTTGAATAGAATCATATTTTATGATTCTGAAGGATTGAGAAACATTGTATTTACTGAGATCTGAGTGTTTTGTACAAGGTTGAAGATGAACAAAAACGGTAATCTGAGTACCAAATTTTCTGTTTTTGATGGCATGAACTAGAA